AGGTCCAAAGGGATAAGTATTTTATAACAAATGATTCTTTAAAATGGTAAGTGCCCACAGAGAACAGAGAGAGTGGGTCAAAATTCAAAAGTCAAGAGTGTATCTGCGAATTTGAGCATGTGCGTTGGTTGGGGTGCAGAGGAAGGAACAAGGAAGCCATGGTCTTTTGTCCCCTGCGTTGAAGACGACACTGACTGGCCTTCATGTTCAGAAACAGACAGGTTTGCTGGTGTGTGGTTCATGCTCTACCTCTTACAGCTAAAATAACAGTGTCTAAGAAATAGCAAAAATCAAACTACATCATATAGCTCATCTCTAATGTGGAGTTCCGTTTCTCCCATCTAGCCATTAATCCACTTCTCTCTATATATACTTTTTGTTCATATCAAGCATTGTTTATTGAGCTATGCAATAGATTTATGGATAGGGATTTGACTGGTTATCATTTTCATTTCTGATTTATGTTTAACATGAAAGTACTAATATCACTGTGTTGTTTACTTTGCCATCTTGTTAGTTTATCATATAGTCAGTGATCTTTAATAAGTATGAATTTCTCAACATGGTTCTTTTTTAGAGTGATTCTGCAGTAGCTTAAAATTAAATAATTTTTTTCTTTGAATTTGTGTTTATAAAATTCAAATACCTTATTCTTTTGAGATTATAGTTACCTTAAATGACTTCAGTGATAGAATTTCAACCACTGCACCACTGCTGACAGCTTGGTAGGTTACTCTAGTGATAATTATTCTGTCTATAGAGAGAGTTGATTTTATGTGCTCAGTCTAAAACCATCCGGAGAGAGACAGATATTTAAGTTATCTGTATTATCCACTAAAATTTGTTCAGAAAGCGATAACATTTTTTAAAATAAATTATTTTTTCTGATAATCAGCATGAACACTTCAGATTAGTGATGTTGGCCAAGAAAATAATTTAAAATTACAACTTATTATATATGTGAAATTGCTACAGGGGATATTTTTATTACAAGTGAATTTTTCCTTTACAAATATTTACAAGATCATACTACATTAAGCTTGGGGACAGTATCTGAAACTGTTTTTCCTTTCTCATCTAAATTTCAAATAATTTATATAATTGACTACTTAAGTTCATAAGGAAAAACTTGATGGATATTAAAAATTCTATTCTTTTAAATTTTTGAGAATTGAAATTGTGAGGTTTCCATGAAAGAAAGTAGCCCTAATGTCATCTCTATCTAACACAATTGTGACAAACTCATTGACAATGGAACCATAACGTCCTCTGGAGGGATAAAAAACCCCCAACTAGTAATCATGGTTACCATAGAGCTGTTAGTGGGGAGAAACAACATGACAAAAAGTAATCAAAAAGCAACAAAAAGTCTCCTTAATACTTTGCTTATTATTTGAGATAATAAAGTACTTGATGACAATCTATAAATGGAAAAGCTTATAGCAATCAATGCAGAAAATTGCACACTAAGAAGCTTTCTGCAAAAGGAAGAAAAACGTAAAAAAGAAAGGCAAGCATTTCAAGATACAAGGGCTTAAGTATTCTGAGGCCACATGCTATTCTCCAGTTTTCTCCACATTCTGCTGAGAGATGGGTGGAGCCAGGGAGCATTCATGGGGTCTGAAACAGGAGAAAAGCGTCCCCAGCTGTTTATTGCCTCTGAACAAATTACAACACCCACAGGTTTCAGTTTTCTTCCAGGGGAACATAAAGCGAATCCTTCACTCTGTATGACCTTTACATTGCTGCTACTGTTTCAGCCTATCAAAAAAAAAAAAGCCTGGTTTCTCAAGATTTTTGCACAAAACTTGTTCAACTATTTAAGCCTTTTTCTTTGAGAATGATTGTAGAAAAGTTTCAAGGTTCATATTGTTGAATAAGAAAATGTGGGCTTGTGGTAGATACACACTCATAAAGGATCTTTCTAATTCATTTACAGAGTATGCAGATATGGTGATATGTGTTTCTCATCACACACTGAGCAGCCAGCTATTCTCATTGATAACACAGCAATATGGTGAAATTCCAAAGAGATTACTTATAGAAAGCAATTCCTGCATTGCTAAAACCGTAGCTTACACAGCTTCTTTTGTGTTAAGTTTTTCACAAACTGAAAGCAGCAGTTGGTACTGTCAAGATGCTTATGTCAAGATATATGTGACTGTATATTTTTGACTTGCACATAATACTAGATGAATAGCAAGCAGTGTAGAAGGCAAAATCCTTCATCCACAAAGTATGAAGTCAGAATCTTGGAAAAGTACTGTTCAAGAGTTATGCAGGTTGTGACAGTGGATTCTTTATCATTTTGCTCAAATTATCCTATTGATTGATCATTTCCCTTTGACTTTATTTCTTCCATGGGGAATTTTAATAAATTTCACAGCCTATGAATACATTATAAATTTCATAGTCTTGACATTAATTTGTATAGTATATCACTTTAAAAAATATGAGTACATACTCAAATGACACTTTTCTGGGTCTGTTTTTGAGAAGATGATCATCCAAAGATTATATAACTAATAATTGTAAAAAAATAAGTTGTCACTGCACTATTTTGATAGACACGTTAATAGATTTGAAGCAGTCATTAACATTATATTTGTACTTTATAAGACATGAAAAATTAAAGGCCTAAACCTTAGAACCACTGAAAGAATATTGCCCATTTATAGTGGTGTGTTAGAATAGTCAAGACTGGACTACAATTTTTACAATAATGTAGTTTCCTTAGCTTGTTTTCACTGTAGCACTAATGGCTATTTTGTAAGTAGTTCCAGTAATCAAAGAAACAAATTACTCATGCTTTCTTCAAAGCAACATTTTGTGAGATCTTGGTCAGAGAATGAGGGTTAGACATCGATCTTCATGATGTATTTTTAATATCCACTACAAGGATACCACATGCAATAAATAGGATTGTAAAGTCTACAGCTAATAGTGTAAAAGTACTGATTACCCCACTGCTTCTATGTTAGATGAGAGATGAACGGCTGGTCATTTTATAAGGAGGATGAATGATTTTCAAACAAAATATCCCAGTGAAGTCAAAAGAACTACACACTGGAACTAGTAGTCTAGACACTAGAACAAAGAAAGGTTTTTTTCCTAATAAATATGCTTCTCTTCTTTTCACATGCTCTATCAAACAACATATTACCTAATATATGAAACAATGGTTTAATTCTGAACCAGCAAAAGATCACTCTAGATATCTATTTTATATTTTATTAATTTCAAATTATGGCAGTGGCCAGAAGCTATTGATTCAAAACTATTTCCAACTGGTCTAAGTATATTATCACTGATTGCCTATTTTTTCTTTAGTCACTTAGTGAAAAATGTGGTTTTGTACCAACCCCCATGCCACCAGAATTGTAAAATAGTGGACCAAGGTTGTTTACTCTGCATATTTAACACAATGGTAGGTATGTGTTACAGGTTGTATGCATATTATCAGAAGAAAAACACTAGGGTAGAAAAACCAACTCTCATAAAATATTTAAGTGAAACGTGTATACCTTCAGGTTTGGGTTGCCCCTAGAAGAGACTTTCTCATGCCTGTCAGCCTTCCTCATCACTGGTCTCTAACAACTTGGTATAGGTATAGTAACCTTCTTTTCGCTCTGTATAAATCTGAGTGGAAGTCCATCTGAGTCACACTCAAAAGTGGTCAAAAGATTTCTTTGGTGCATAGCAGTCTCTCCCTCACAATAAGAAAGTCACAAGTACATTTAGGTTATAATACAATTTCTGAAGGGAGAATAGTTTGCAAAGTATAGAGGCGTCTTCAATCAAGAACCTACAGGCTCTGGTGGGCTAACACATGCCCATAGCCATTCTAATAACTGTGGAGGAAGTGCTTTTATGAGGCTCCAGGAGACTGTCAAAAATATCTTTCCATCTTTGGTTTTTATAGGTTCATCTGTTTGTCTCTTTTATTGCAATGAGCACTGCTTCATGTTAAGAATATTAGGGTACTATAAATTCTCTTGCTGCTTTCTTAGCAGTTTTGACTTAGCTAAAAGTTTTAAATATACTCAGAGGATTATGCTAGAATAAAGCTCCTAAAAATGTATCATGAAATATTTTTACAGTATCGTTCTCAATATGGTGAGATTATGTTAAAGCCTAAGAAGGTACCTCTCTCACACACTTTTTTTTGTGACTTTATTTTCAGAAAAAAAATGATCTAAACTTATGCATGATTTTCAGTTCCTTCTCATTGATACTCATTGTTAGTAACCAAATGTTGAAGCTACTTTGTGCGGGTAATTGTCACCCACCACAGAAACACAAGAGCAGACTCATAATTAGCAGAATCCCACCGGACTTGCTATCTGTGCTTCTGGCACATTGCTAAAGCTGAGATGTGAATCAAGACCCCTTAGGGCCTTTCCCCATAAGTCCCTTGAAGAAACTTGTGGTCTCTAAGCAACAGCTCGACTCAGTGAGCCAGGGCAAGGCTTGCTCCGATGGCCACACCAGGAACTGTGCTCTAAGAATCTCAGCTCAGAGTTGCTCTGATATATTTACTAATGGCATGTCTATAGAAGATGCCGTGTGTTAAAGAAACTTAGAGGCATTAACCCTGAAAAGTTGGATTTCAGGGAAGGCTCCCTTCTCTCCCCTCAGAAGGACCCAGTCATTTGCTTTTCTGCTGTGTCAGCAATATTAACAGTGTAGTGTTTGGGTAATTTTCTTTTCATCCCTGAAGGCTTACGATAATAATTACTTTTCACGGCAACATTAACTCTTATGATTGGTATCTTTATGAGGTTTTCATACCTATCTGAGTGATTTGGGGAGTGTAGGTAGTTGCAGTAAGTGCACATTTATCAAGAAGGAATGCATAACCACCTTACTCAGTAGACTCAGTAGTAATTCACTGAAAGGAGTTGTCAATCTGCTTGCAAATTATGGATCGGGGTTTTTTTTTTTTTTTTTTTGGTTTTTTGAGATAGGGTTTCTCTGTAGCCTTGGAGCTTGTCCTGGAATTAGCTCTTGTATTCTCCTGCCTTTGCCTCCCAAGTACAGGGATTAAAGGCATGAACCACTACTGCCTGACTCAGGATGAATGAAATCTTAACAAGGATCAGCAAAAAGGTACCCTTTCAGTAGACTAAGTTTGGTAGAACATTTTGCTATCAAAGAAAAAAACAGGTTTTCCTCTTGCTTGACCTTGACCTTGTGTTCAGGAATATGATCTGGATTCCTTAATTGATATCTGGTTTAGGCAAGTGACACCAGGTGAGTCTCACAGAGTAATTTATATTTTCACTCACTAAATTATGCTCAAAATATGTCTATGTTGACCTGAACAAGCCAAACTTTCTCTTTTAGAGAGGAATTTTCCATTTCCCTTTAAACTTGGACATTGTCAGGTGGTAGAACTGAAAAAAATTTGCAAGCCAAACATTTTCTCTTTTCATCCCAACCAATCAAGTTCAGGGCAAAAAAAATTCAAGTCATGTAAGTTCTGTTTCCATAGCAGATGCCAAGACCCCAACGACCCATGCAAAAATTCCTCTGTGAAACTTAAAACATCTACTTTCATGTATCATTTGTTCTTCTTTTAACTACAAACAGCTGAGTTCATTTTCAGTGTAGCTTTGTGTCTTTCTCAAACATTTTAGAGTTGGAGATTACACCAATTTCTCAAGTAGCTCAGATGGAAGAAACAGTCAACAACAAGGCAACATCAACCAGACAGACAGTGTAATGGACATGCAGGGCAGCTGGGATGGTAATCTTGTTTCCAAAGTGCTTCCTTCTTGTGTTTCTGATCATAATCCTCATAAGACCAGAGTGGGCTTCAGAGATACTGTTGTTAGTAGGGAACCTTTTTCATTTTCTAACAGGGGACCTTTTTCATATTCTAACAGCACTAATTTAAAAATAGTTATTCAACATAGTTTTAATTTTAATGTGACAAATTAGTTTTAAATAATTTAAGTGAGCATATCCTGTCACATTTAGCACATTTGATATACCCTAATCTGTAGATGGTTATAGTAATTTCCTACATACATAGAGACACAGACATACAACCCCCCACATCCACACACACTCGAGCTACAGGGTCCTTCTGAATAGAATATTCTAATTTAACACCCCCTTAATTGTCACTGGACTTCTTTACATGGAGAGTTATGATACCATGAGTAAAGATTACATGATTTGTTTCTGTCAAAATTGAAAAAGCCACAGAGCTTAGAGTGGGTCATTATTATGTTTAAAGACAGGCCCTGTGTCGAAACAGGAGCAAACAGTCTGAAAGACAAATTTTGGTGACCCCAACCAGGCACAAACTAGAGTGGGCAAATTTCCCAGTGCCAAGGCTTCTGCTACTGTCAGACACAAAGAATTTGTTGTATTGAAATGAGTGTTCATATTATTGGATTTTTTTGTAAAACATAGATTTCCCCCATAGAAATTCAATAAATAAAGGACTTAACCACTGAATCAAGGAAGCAGAACTTCAGTTTTTAACCTTTCAGTTGGGACTACGCCCTACCAATGTTAATTTGTACAGCAATTGATCTTCCAGGATACACAGGGCGAAATGACCCCATGGCAGGTCCAGGGCAGACTGTTTTGCTGGTCAGTGGTGGCCTCTGTATGTCACTGAATGAGGCTGGAGCTATAGCTGAATCCATAACTGCTGGACCGAGACAATGGTGGCTGAGCCTCTTCACTCTGTTCTGCAGCATAACTTGGAAATGTCTGTGCCCTGGACATCTTTGATGAGCCAAACCCATGACCTGGAGAATAGAAAAGAAAAGCTGTACTAAGAAACACATCAGAATAAGGAAACAGTATCTGAAGAAAACAGCACAAATAAGTCTATCCAAAGACTTCAGACCTTCTACATCAAGCTTTTAAGAAGGATGGCAAAAATCTAGGCTTTGGTATCCAGATTCTTTTTCTTTAGCCCAATACCGGAAATTAAATATAGGACTTCTCATAAGCTGATCAAAGTATTTAACCCAGCTCTCTTTTTATTCTTTATGGGACTGAGTCTTAGTAAGCTGCCAAGGCAGATTAGGAAGTTCTGATCCTCCTCCTTCAGTCTCCGAATTAGCTTTAATTACAGTCTGTGTCACCATGTCAGGCTTTATTTTCTTGATCTTTGATGAGTTAAGAACATATTCAGGATCAACATTTTTCCCAACTACATATTTTCTAGAATTATGGACATCCAGAGAGCTAGGCTAATATTTAGGACTCTAAACATTCCCTTTCTCAACCTTTGAAATAAGAGCAGAAATCCTTACCCTAGAAAGGTACTTCTGACAGAAAGCTTACCTTCCCTTATATCTTATATTCAATTTTTAAAAACAAAAAAGAAAGAAAGGAAGAAGAAAGAAAGAAAGAAAGCTAATGGAATGCTTTCTTTAAAGCATCTGGGAACAGACACTTGGGATTTTACCCTCATCAGTAATAACCAATTACCAAAAAGATTTTACAGTAATAGATCAGGGATATTAGTTTCTCCCAGGAACTTTGTGAGTCCCTGTAACTGATGAATATCTTGGTTTACCAAGGTAATCTGCTTCAATGCTAGCAAAAGTGATATAAGAGTTGACTCTTTCACAAAATATACCCCAAGAAAATTCTGCACATAAAATTGTCTGCTTAGCTGATACCTTATGATAAAAAAGTTTTTCAATGTCAACTGAAGCACAAGTGATTGCTTAAAATATGTCAGGATGTTCACAATGTTCAAAGAGAAATATGTATACATATATATGCTTTAGAAAGACTTTCTCCTATAGTTGTCTCACTCTTTCTATATCCAGTATTCTTTGTGCTTGAGGGTGGCTTGTACCTGATGATGGAAAAGAAGCATTGAGTGAGACAGAAGAAAAATAGATCCTGTATGTGCTGCCCTTTCAGAGTTTATACTGTACCCAAGAGATGAAATGCAGGTAATTTGACTTGTGCTTTAGCTGATCTCTTGGGAGAAGAATTCAGAGAACACTATCTATTAACATAGAAACATGGGGCATCCATTGTCATAGCCCCTTTGTGGCCCTGTCCTTTGCAATGTCATAGGCTCAAAGCCAGTTTCACTGCCACGTGCTTGATGACTCCCAAAATATCCTTGCAGTGTGGAAAGCTTGAGATCCAGGGAGAAAACCCATAGGAACTGGGTAATTAAAGGCTAATTAAAATCGGTAAAACAGTCTAAATCTTAAAAAAAAAAAGATGTGAGATAGAAATCTTGCTTTCTAGCAAGAAATTGTTCTAAATTTGCTGGTCTTATTCTCCTGCTGACCAGGGATTGGGAAGAACTAGAGACTAGTTGCTTGTATAGCTTGGAGGAGGAAGACTGGAACATCTTTCAGGTCCTTCTTGGGGTGTCTCTTATATCAGGTACACTCGAGCTTTTTGAACCTTTTGCTTCTACAGTTCTTCCTATATCTGAGTCTATGCTATGGTGTTATACACTAGGTTGAAATGTATCGATAGCTACTAAAATGGTCTGAAAGCTGAATGTTGGCACTTACAAAGTCCTGTGCTCCTATTTTCCTCCCTTAGTGTGTTCATGCTTTGGGAGAGGTAGTAGTACAGATTAATAGAAATGGGGTAAATTAAGATGTAAGAGCTAGTCAATAAGAAGCTTGAGCTAATAGGCCAAGCAGTGATTTAATTTAATTCAAAGAGTTTTTGTGTGGTTATTTTGAGTCTGGGCAGCCCGAAGCAAACAAGCGGCCTCCTACTACATCTGATAATATAAAAAAGGAATCATGAAAACGAAGCAGAGAAACAAGAAAAGCTGGGAGAAGTCTGAGACCGGTGGTTGATGAAGGCCATTCAGGAGATGTTAGTGAGTGGTTATGGAAAGGGAAAGAGAGAACTTAAAGGAGAGGATCAAAGTTAAGGGAGTGTCAAAGGATTGAGATAGCAGAAGAGGCAACACCACTCAACATGTTGCCTCAGCTTCTTTTTTGTCTGCTGTTAACTTTGAGAGATATAACTTAGCTCTGGATTTCTTGGTTTCTTGATCTGAAATCAGATGATGGTAACAAAGAGAGTTAACTTACATTGTGGCTTTAAACATTAAGTCAGTGAGCTAGCTTGTGCCAAATACAGCCATCCAATAAAAAACAAATGTGGTTCTGTGGTAGTCTTCATGAGTCTCACTGTCCCAGGGGGAAGAACACACTTTCTATTGATTGTATGAGCACTAAGTAAATCAATACATAAGAAGGCATCTGAGACAGTAGGTGTGTCCTAAAAGTTAGAACAGTTAGTGAAGGCCTGAAAGGAGGTGCTATTTCTTGCCAGGATATTGGTACTAAGCTGATGTAGTAAAGTGTACTATTTTTTTGTGATGTTTTTGCCTTTTTATCTTACCATTGACTAATGAGAATTCATAGTTCTTTTAACTAGGAACATTGTGTTTATCAGCATATAGCAGCTGGAAAGTCTTGTATATTAAGAATATGCTCTTGGGCCTAGAGAAATGTTCTGTGGTTAAGAGTATATACTGCTCTTGCATGGGACCCAAGTTCTGTTCCTAGAACTCATGCCAGGGAACTAAAAACTGCTGTGACTTCAGTTCCAGAGGACCTGATGACCTCTTCAGGTTTCCAACATGTCAATTGTACTGAAGGACACATACTGGCCCCCGTTCCCACATATGCATATAATTAAAAATAAATTAGATATTTTAAAAAGAATACACTCTTATATTTGGTTTAAATGCAACTTCTATTAAAATATAAAAAAAATCTGAAGAGAGTAGATGCATACCTTTAATTCATATCACTCTTGGGCTGAAAGTGAAGGCTTAAGTTGAAAATAAAGACTTTCCTATAAACAAAGTATTTTCCTTCTAATTGTATAATATTGACCATAAAAAGCAGATAAGACAATGGATATTTACCAAAGTGCAAGTTAAAAAGTCTACAGGAATCAACATGTCTGTAGAGGAGGGCCTGGATTTACAGAGTTGATCAACTGTCTTGAGAAAGATGGTTAGGCAAGAAGAGCATACTACCAGTACCAAGTACATGGTTTGCTTCACTAATGCTAGGCAGAACCAGAGGAGAGGTAGGTAGGAAAGCTACACATGTCAGACCAGCTCTCCAAACTGCTTCCCCTTCACAGTGTGAACAGTGCACTTCTCACCTCTACAAAGGACTTCAGAGACGAATTGAACTTTGCTGTACTTTTGGGACCTCATTGTCCCATATGGGGAGGGCATTCTCCATAGGTATTATGGAAATAAACAGATTGACAGATGTGATTGGTGAAAGCCAGCAGAAACTGAAGGTATGTGCTCAATGCTAGTTTTCTTTCTTTTTTCTTCGCAGATGGGCTCACACTCTTGCCATTCTCTGCTCAGCATCTACATTCCCTCACCATCTTAAAGTGCTGCCTCTTACTATGATATGTTTTGAGTGTTATTCTCTTTCGAGGTCACCAGTGTGTTTTTTCCCCTACTCTGTGAATCATTTCTGGTTTAATTGGAAATTAGTTTATGACTTTCTTTTACTTCAAATTTTCTTTACTTCAGAGAGTTCCAAGATTATGCTAATCAACAAAATAACATACCTCAATCAGAACTGAATATATGAAGGCTGTTTGATAAAGACAATAAATATGAACAAAGAGAGAAATAAAATAATTAGGCCCTTTTTCAGCATTCGTTGGAATCATGCCCTTAGGCGGTGTTGATGAAAGCAAAAAAAAAAAAAAGAAAAGAAAAAAAAAAACCATAACTGTGAGGCTTAAATTAAAAGCTCAGTGGAAAAGACATGCTCATCCTAGTAACCAGGAGTCTAGTGAAGCACTTTGTCAGTTTTCCCCCAGCTGGTCACACACTAAGAACATCTGCACAGTGCTGCAAATTAAAAGCAACAGATCTGGTAACAATTATGTCTATTTTAAAAATCCTCTTGAATTTTTATTTTCATTCTAGCTTTAGTAGTCATGTCTGCTTTACTAGAAAATAATATTTTTGTTCAAATGTTCCATGTTTCTAAGGTGTTGATGACTATATTTACCCAGTGGGTTCAAATATCTTCTGACATGGTAATTGTATGTGCACCTACCAAACCTAATCTGCTTAGTTTCACTCTAGAAGGAAGATTATAAGTTTGGTATAGAGTCATTTAGTGCATTTGCTTTATTCTGACAACATTATTCCGGGAACTGAAGAACATCACATAACAATAAAGACACAATGAATGCACACTTTAAAAGGAAGCTTCCCTGCTGGATCCCCAAATGCCCAAGCTAGCAATGAAGTGGAAAGAGTGCAAATGCAGTAGAAAATGGCAGCCAAGCTGGAGTGCTGGAGCCAGGATTATTACGAAGAGAAGCTGAGGAGAGGAAAGGAAGAAGACAAACGTGATGCTCTCCTCTGCCAGTAACCAAAAGTGTGTTATCAGCAGTTTTTGCTGAACTCTCCCAACATGTTTGACATATGATTTTCTACTTTTATTAACCAACTCTAATTTCAACGTAGATTCCAAAGGAAATTGTTTTCACAAAAGTCAGAAGGATTCCCAAACATAAAGCTCTTGGACACTCATTGACAAAAGGAAGTGGCCTTGATACAGACATTTAAAAGTTTATGCTTAAAAGATTTGTTAGAATCTACAGGAGCTGAAGGGATGTTGTTACTTTAAGTAATAAAACAACATAAGATTTAATAGTATAATAAATGAGTTGGGGAAGTTTTCTGGTGAGAAAGAAAACATGGGGTAAAAGCATTTATAAAATTCTAGGCTGGATATTCAGGAGAGGT